GTGTGTCTGTCTGTGTGTGTGTCTGTCTGTGTGTGTGTGTGAGTGTGTGAGTGTGAGTGCGAGAGTGAGTGCGTGTGCGCGCACGTCTGTGTGTGTGTGTGTGTGTGTGTGTGTTTTTGTGTGTCTGTGTGTGTGTCTGTGTGTCTGTGTCTGTGTCTGTGTGTGTGTGTGTGTGTGTTGTGTATCTGAGAAGGAGAGGGCTGAGAAAGGAGGGGATGACACCTCTGTTGTAAATCTTGTTGTGTAGACAGCACGCCTGCAGCTCTGTTCTGAGTTATGAGACTTTAGGCTTTTATCAGCTCTCTCATTCTGCTTTTATCCGCTAAACTGATTTATGAGACAACCTACTGCGTGTAGCTCAAGCGCTTCTCCTTGCAGATAATGAGCGGGGAACCTCGGAGGTGCTGTAAATCTGAGTAAACAAACAAGCACACACACCTGAGCTGTCGCTTTTTTATGAGGTTAAGTGAGAAAAGGTCACAGAAGGTAAACGGAGAGTCAGAGGTCACACTGATTGTGGCAGTATAAAATGACTGCAGGCTCTGGATTAAGGATTATAGTGACGTGGTAAAGCAGTTATGAGTGTTATATGCAAATATGGCACTATTCTGTTTTGTGGTTTGCAGATGTTTGTCTACTTATCTATTCATTCTAGTCTATTCTATTCTATTCATGTGTATCCATTCACTCTGCAGCTGTAGTGAAGGGCTGAGTGATATATCCAAAAAATAAAATTAAAATATTTGATGTGTCTCTTTATCTTTGTGTATATGTATATACACATACATACATATGTACGTACGTTTTTTTGTGTGTGTGTGTGTGTGTGTGTATATATATGTGTGTATATATATATATATATACACACATATATATACACACACACACACACACACATACATACATGTATATATATATATATATATACATGTATGTATGTGTGTGTGTGTATAATCGTTATGCAATTTTCTAAAATTATTATAATTTTTTTTTACTATTTCATGTATATAATATATGAATATATATATATAAATGCCTCATTCATTCATATATATATTTAATATTTAAAAAAACAATAGTATCAGTATATCTGCCAGCGCTGCTGTTGTGAAGTCTACAGTGACGTGTGCTGTGATTGGCTGAAGGCAGCATCAGATGATTAATGCTGCGGTTCATCAGATAACCTCCGATAAACACTGCTGCCATATGCTTCTGTTCTTTTCCTCTCTCTTCCTAACCCTTCACTATTTCTACATTCCTGTTTTCCTTGGTCTTTCATCTGTTTGTTTGTCTCTCTGTAGGCGGATTCTGGTCCGGTTCTATGTGCCGGTTATGAGGACGGCTCTCTGCTGTTATGGGATGTTTCCCATCGCTGTGCCTACAGCTGTCTGAAGGCACATCCTGAGCCCGTCATGTGTCTAGACATTGATGTATGCAAGCAGAAAGGCATCTCAGGGTCTTCCGAGAAGATCCTCCAGTCCTGGACACTTGACAACCAGCAAAACCTTCAGGTGAGATCTCATGTGAACGTAACGACCACATTGTTCTACCCTATTTACTATCGTAATGCATTTTCATTACTGAAAGCTTTTTTTAAATGTTTCTTTTAATGTATTATCTAGCTAGTATTAATATTAACCAATACCCAAATATCAATGTATGCATTGTTTACGATGCAGTTACGATACAGCCTTTCTACAATCTTGCCGGTAGTAAATTATAGGGCTGCATGATGAAATTGAAGTAAAACTGAAATTGCAATATTGCTTACTGCAATTATCAAATTACGCACGCTGGCGATTTTATTAAATAAATGTATAAAACGGAGAGTTCCGGTGCTTGATTCTGATTGGCTGAGCCAGCAATTTTTATCAGAAAAATCACAGTTTGATTTTTTTTTTCTCTCCCCAAATCATGCAGCACTAAATGCATTGGTTTAGAACAGCAATAATTGCAAATTGCATTAAATTTGATAAAAAAAGAAGCGTTACCATTGGGATACATTGAGATGCTCTCAAAGGTGAGCCTTTAAGTCCATTCAAAAAGCCTCCTCAAACTTTGCTGCCTTCGATATTTTGGGCATTTATTATTTCAGTTCCATGTTTGTTTTTTTTTGTATGCAAGAAACAAGGGTGCCAGATGTTTGGGGTTAGCTATTTTTGACCATAGTAATATTAGTCCTTAGAGATGTTTTTATTATTGTTCGTCGGTTATTGGTACGCTGCTATTACATGCTCGTTCTCTGTCGAATTAGTAACTGGTTGCTCAGTTCAGTTCTCTAAAAACATTTGGAAAATGTAAAAAAGATAAATGGCATTTCGTAACCGTGTTGAGGACTGTTTCGCAGCGGTGTGTACGTGGCCATGTAGACACACCACCCGATACACTTGGAAAGTATTTGGCTAGACTATAAAGTTTCCTCAGGTCTGTTGGATAATAAATCAGTCTCTTTTACTTTAGATTGGCAACTCTCAGCTACACTGTGATGTCATACTGTAGTTCGAGGCCAGATTTTGCCTAAAACAATAAAATAAAATGCTTTTTATTTTTATACAGCATATTTAAAAAAATGAGCACACACCAGAGCCATGCTTTATCTTGCATAACACTCTACTCCTCTGAAAGGTAATGCCTCATTAGCATTTCAGGTCTTACAGATTCAATATTTCATAAGCAGCGAGAAATCTGTGTGAAAAGGCTCTGATATACAACACTCCAGTCCTGTGCGCGGATTGTTATTCTTTCCAGCGCCTTTTCCACATGAATGGATGAATTAGAAATATTCCCAAACCTTCCTCCCTATTTTGTCTAGCATGCAAAATGTATCTGCAGTAATAAGTGTTTATTCACAAAATAGGAGCTGTATCGATGGTTCGGTTTATTTTGCATGTCAAAAAAATAAAAAATTGATTTAAAATGTAATTCTTGGCGGAAACCGGCTACAAAAAAAAAGAGCAGCTTGGAAAAGGAGTCAGCGGGGGCTTTTAAATGACCCTGAAGTGCATATCTGCCGCTTGACGAACGACCCGCGAGAGGTAATTAAAACATCAAAACCTCGCAGGCTGCTAACCAAACAAAAAACACATCTGCAATAAAAGGAACAGTAGTTCACACAGCGGGAGGCTCTACGAAAGGCTAGTAGAGATGAAGCAACATGGCCCAGGTCTCCACCTGCTGCTGTGGAGAACGCTAACAGTACTCTCTCAGCACCGCTATCTTTTATTTATTTATTTATTTATTGTTTAGTTTGTTTTAAGTTGTTTTAGTCATGCACTACCAGTCATCAGTTTTTGAACAGTAAGATTTTT